ATAGACTGTAGTCTACCCGATGCTAAGTTCCTCGTCACAATTTTAATTGACTGCGCTGCCGAACGGCCTTCGCTGCAGGCGAGTCAGTCTGGGTTGGTTTTGACTTCAACTAACTGCTTGTTGTTTCCAAATTTTACACATGTTTGAATTTCATATTTGAATCTAGTTCAGGCGAAGTGGAAGTATCGTTTCCCAGTGATGCGAACATTGTACTGACTAAGAACGCATACTAGTATGCGGGACTTACCATTATTATTGCGTCAATGTAGACGCCATTCATAATTTAAGGTTTACACTGCGCCCTGGTCACGTTGCTGAGTGTTGTTTGGCTCGTTTGGACTAGGATCAGGGTTGTAATTAGAGCAAGATTTGGAGTTGGTATCATCTATTTAAATTTGTTTTATTAAACACACTTTCCTAGTAAGTAGTCATTGGTACTCTCCCTGAAAATCATAGTAGTTCAGTCAAGGGCTTTTAGGGAAGACTGCAAAACAGAATAAGAGCGATAAATGCGTCACACGAAAAAGCTCATCTGCAGTCACCTCAGTGAACACATGTACAGAAACCAGTCTTACTTAAAAACTTCTGCTCATTATAACTGAGACGTATTTTTAAGTCATATCAGAGAAAGATACCCTGTTTAATGTGTTTCCATGCATTCCCTCGTAAATGTCGTTTTTTGTACAGAAATCACTTAGTTTTCATGGTCGATCGGCTGAAGGTTTCTTGAGCGTTCATATCCCATGGGACGTGATAGTTTAACTTTGCCCTATTCTGTTAGCAGTCACTCGATATATATATATATATATATATATATATATATATATATATACTGTTTTCTCGAATTCGACATGCAAGAACTGATAAGAAGGAATATCATCAAAGTCATGGACACGTCTTATCATGTAAACACTAGAATTACACTTTGTTGTGGACTTTAAAACATAACCATCATGACTTTCGACGTCTGCTGTTTGATTTAGGCACCGTAATTTCTGCCAGGGTCATGTATCTTTTTTTACGGGATATTATACACCGAATTGACTTCTTCCAGCTCGCCTCTTGGTTGTAAGGATATTGGTCTTGTGATTGAAATAAGAGTGAAAAGAAGTGTGTCAATTAATTTCCCCCTCTATATTCACCTCACTTCGCATAAATACGGTGATAAAAATTTGAACTCTGATTGCCCCCGAGCGGGTTTGTGGAGTCCATTGGCTTTTCGGTCGTTATACTGTAGTCTAGCTGAACCAGCGTCTTATCCCTATCTTTGGCTCTGACTAACCTGTATGCCTATCCTGATAATTGCTTTCGTAGAATGACTGAAGCTTTAAAAGACAAAATGAACTTCATTGTTGACATTGAACATTCTCGTTAATCTTGCCCTTAGTTTCATGTCATCCTTGAAGGATTTAGACAAGTTGCTCGAGCGATGTAAGTTTCTCGTCAAGCTCCTGTATTTACTTGATAGATTTTACTGAATAGAAGCTTGATGCTTGCAGATTGTTAGCTGTCCTACTTTGCCTAAGTAAACTATGTTTGAAATGAATATCACTTTCATTGTTGAACATAATGATGATGATTTCCTGGGTGTTTTGGATTTCCAGTTGTGAAATGGTATTAAACTTCAGGTAGACTTTTCCGTTGAAATCTATCTGATCGTCTGTGTTCTGTTGGATTTTACCTAATAATATGTGAATGTTTCTTAATTGCTACGACATTTTCAACTCCCCCTAGTCTAGTGATATATGTACTTAACCTTGTAGTGTGTGCAGTTTCACAAATACATTGCACACAATTCAAATAAATCACTACTTACCCGACAAACCAACAATAGAATATCGATGAGATGCTCACTAGCGACTTGCCCTATTCAGCCAGGTAGTTACCTGGGGTTCTAGTGAGAAGTCGTGACCAGTAGGGTCTGTTTGTCTGTCTGGATTCAACATAGAACTTCACACCGAACTGCAACAGTTCCAGTTGCCACGCTCCAAATAGCACACAAAGGTAGACAAGAAGATGAGTGGAGAAAATCAATACAGTTTGACAAGTATAAGAGTGAAACAGAATGGGTAATGGTAGAAAGGAATATGAAAGATTACAGAGGCTGAATACATCTGAGCTGGCCATTGACAACGATTTTGAGCCATGTGTCACCTATTGTCTCCAGCCATTGATTCCTAGAGTCCCGAGGCGAGGGCCCCAACCCGGAAGTCTTCATCTCCCTACCTGACCGACTCAGTTTAACTGTCAAGGATTTCATGGATTGATGAGGCCATGTTTTTGTTTGGCCACCACTTACTCTTTTCCAACCTGCACCTGATATCTATCAGCTAGTAATGGCCGTCGTCGGGGGAGGCGATGGTTAGGCATGCGCACCACGTGACCTAGCCATCTCAATCTATGTAACTTTATAGCCTCGTCGATTGATTTTCCCTCTTTACTCAACACTCTACGCCTAACGTCAACATTACTTACCTTATTAGACCACCTAACGTGAGACAGAGATCGCAGACATCTATGATCGAAAACAGCCAACCTTTTCATGTCTTCAACTCGTATTGGCCATGTTTCAGAGCAGAGCCATAGAGAAGGACGGAGCGAACTGATGAGCAGTACACACGTCTCCAGAGGTATTTAAGTACGGTGGAGACAGCTTACTGTCCGGATTAACTGAGGTACTAGGCAGCGTTTGGGAATCAGAAGAAGTCCCATCGGGTTGGTGTAAGTCACTGATTATCCCCATATACAAGAAGGGAGACAAGTCTTCCTGTGATAATCACAGAGGGATTAGCTTGACTAATATAGTATCTAAAGTCTTAGGCTCAATAATCATGCGTAGACTGAGTGGTGCTCGGGAAGCACAAACACGAGAGAGCCAGGCAGGCTTTAGACCAGGAAGAGGGTGTATTGATCATATCTTCACCCTCCGACAGATTCTAGAACATAGGGATTCCTACCGGCGTCCAACAGTCATTATATTTCTTGACCTAAAGGCAGCATTCGACTCTGTCGATCGGGAAGTTCTCTGGAGATGCTTGGCTGTCAAGGGAATCCCGAGAAAATATATTGCACTGATTAAGGCACTCTATTCGTACTCATACAGCCAGGTGAGGGCTTACGGCGAGCTGTCATCTGAACTGATGACGACCAGTGGTGTCCGTCAAGGATGCCGATTATCTCCTTTTCTATTCAACTTCATCATAGATGTGTTAATGGACTTAACCCTAGGTGACTTCAGCGATTCAGGGATTGACTTGCTACCTGGGAATAATCTCGTTGACTTGGAATATGCAGACGATATAGTCCTTCTAGGCGAAGACGCTGACGAAATGCAGAGTCTTCTAAACACCTTGAACAGCAATCTACGAATGTTTGGCATGCGATTCGCTCCCGCCAAATGCAAGATGATGTTACAGGACTGGACTACATCGACGCCTAGTTTAAAAATAGGAAGTGAAGTGGTAGAGCACGTTGACCGCTTCACTTATTTGGGAAGTACCATCAGCCCCAACGGGCTGATCTCTGACGAAATCTCAGCACGAATACAAGGGGCTCGTTTCGCATTTGTTAGTTTACGCCGACTCTGGCGTAGACGAGATGTTCGACTATCGACCAAAGGGCGGGTGTACTGCTCAGCAGTTCGCTCCGTCCTCCTTTATGGTTGTGAGACCTGGCCACTGAGAGTGGAAGACATGAAAAGACTAGCTGGCTTTGATCATAGGTGCCTGCGTTCTATTTCCCGTGTAAAGTGGCATAATAAGGTGAGCAACATGGAGGTTAGGCGTAGAGTTCTAGGTAAACAGGGGAAATCAATCGACGAAGTCGTAAAGCTATATCGACTGAGATGGTTAGGACATGTGTTACGTATGCCAAGTCATCACCTCCCTCGACGAGCTATGTTAGCGGATATAGGGTCAGGCTGGAAAAAAGCTAGCGGCGGTCAAACAAAAACTTGGCATCAGTCAATGAAATCCACAACAGTTGGTCTTAGCCACGTAGGAAGGTGTAGACTTCCAGGCTGGGGTCCTCGGGACGGTAAAAATCTATGGTTGGAAACAATTGGTGACATGGCTCAAAATCGTTCTCAGTGGCGCAGATGCATCCACTCCCTGTGACTTATGATCCTCAATGAAACTGTTTTGTATTTCTTTATTACTCCTTTGTCTCACACCTCTGCTCACTGTCTCTATTATGCTTTTCTTGTACTTTCTTCTCTTGCTTCGCGTGCTACACGGAATGTGGCGACTTGAACTTCCGCACATTTGTGCAAAGTTCTATGTCGAAAACAGACAGACAGACAGACACACGTCCCTTGGTTGATAGCCGGATGTCACGCCTAGGCCAGAGATGGTGTAAGTCAGCGAAAGCAGCTGGAGCTTTTTGGATCCGTGCTGAGATTTCGTCGCCAATCAATCCGTTGGTGCTGATACAACTTCCCAAATAGGTGAAGTGCAACAGGTCAGTGTGACGACAAACACTTGCAGAAGACATTGGCTAGGGGTCGCGCTATGTCGTGAATTGGCAGAAGTTAGAATTCATGGGCAATTGGATCGGCTGGTCCCAGTGGCTTAGTGGTCTACGAGCTAGCTCGCCTTATAACCAGCAGGTTCTGGGTGCATACTGATTAAGAGTCCCAGACTAGGACGAAACAGCTGTCCAGTACTCCACTGCCGGTTTTCCAATGGTTCTCTAACCAATGTCAGCTCATGATGAAATCCTGTAACCAATCAGTCAAATCCCTACAAACCAACACTTAAAAATTACTTTCTCTTGTTGCTTTGCCGAAATACAATTATAAAAGTATGTAGTGATTGCTTGGATAGACACTGCCACAACAACGCGTTGTTCCTAACCGACTGTAATCTTTTATACATTATTTTACAACTTATATATATATATATCATAGATAATCCGTTTGTCTTTCAGAGATTGGGATTTCTCGCTATAATCTATAGACTCTACCCAACGATCCACTTCAAAATACTGATCTTTCTTAGTCAATGATGCAATCAGAATCCTTCAATAATAATGCACAGCTAACAGGTGAGATAGACCATTCTATAATCTCATTTCTACTAAAAAAAGGTTGTGGAGCTAGTTGGCTATGCAATCCAAGAAGACGATTTCACCGTTATGTCGCCTTATTCTTCATATGTTTTCTAACCTTTGGAAGTTACTTTTGTTATGATAATCCTTCAGCACTTCAAGATGTTATGCTAAGTTCTTTAGGAATGTCAAAAGTTCAATTTATGAATTTGTATGCCTTCTATTCATGGCCAAATGTTTTCCTAAGTTTTGTTGGTGGTTACCTAGTTGATCGAGTATTTGGTATTTCATTAGGAAGTATTATTTTCTCCTTGTTTGTTTTTGTCGGACAAATTATATTTGGTATTGGTGCGTATTATTCAAGTATTCCTGCAATGTATTTTGCAAGACTGATCTTTGGTATCGGCGGGGAATCGTTGGCTGTAACACAGAATACATATTTAACTCAATGGTTTCCACCGAATGAATTGACTTTGGTATTTGGACTTCAATTGAGTATGTCACGTGTTGGATCCACTATAAATATGGTAACTATGCAACAACTTAATCGTGCTGTTGGAAAACACTTCAATATACACACAAATCAACAACTGGGTGCATCTTTATTAATAGCAGCTGTTACTTGCTTATATTCTCTTGTCTGTGCTATAATTATGCTATTTTTGACAAGAAGGTGAGTTGGCCTGCATAAATTGTACTTACTTTGCTTGTTTATATATATATATATATATATATATATATATATATATATATATATATATATCTGTCTGTTTTCGACATAGAACTTTGCACAAATGTGCGGAAGTTCAAGTCGCCACATTCCGTGTAGCACGCGAAGCAAGAGAAGAAAGTACAAGAAAAGCATAATAGAGACAGTGAGCAGAGGTGTGAGACAAAGGAGTAATAAAGAAATACAAAACAGTTTCATTGAGGATCATAAGTCACAGGGAGTGGATGCATCTGCGCCACTGAGAACGATTTTGAGCCATGTCACCAATTGTTTCCAACCATAGATTTTTACCGTCCCGAGGACCCCAGCCTGGAAGTCTACACCTTCCTACGTGGCTATATATATATATATATATATATATATATATATATATATATATATAACATTAAAAATGCCCATTAAAATTTTCAAAAGAATGGATACTGATACTGGTTGTTTGAGGCAACTTACAATAGCCTCTGCTGTTTGGAGCATGCGGTGCTTCGATGGTTTTGGCAATTTATTAGGCACCCAGTAGATGATGATAGAGAAGGATTCTTCTACGCTGGTTGGCTGGCTTTGTGGCTATGTTGGCAACAGATGGTCCAATATCGAACTGTTATTGGCTTTCACTACACCTTTACTTAGTCATAGTGGGAGATGTTCTCGAGATAGCACGAAAAATCAAGTTCCTAGAGCAACGGCCGATATAACTCACTGTAAAAGCGCAGTTGAATTGGTAGATACAATTTGAATTGGCTAGTCTAGTCTAGGTACTTCATCTTTCAGTCGAGGTAGCACCACTGGTCGTGTAGAGAATAATCCGTGTAGTTCACCAGCATTAAAAGTTCTTTGAACTGATTTTCTTAATTTCCTCGTAATTTTCTCACTTGGTATATCGCCCTTGAATTGTAGTCGTATATAAAGTGGCTTCTTGTTTACGGATAGTGAGTAGTCCTTTTCCGCCTTCTTTGTCATATGTTTCTTGATAAATTTGTCGGGATAGCCATTTTTGATCAAGGTATCATATACAATGCCTAATTTATCTTCAATTACTTCTTCTGAGCATATAGCTCTAACTCTGTGTCTAAGGGTCTTCACTAAATTTCCTTTATACTTGATAGGAACGAAGCTGTGAAAATGTGTATGTTGTCCTGTCCAAGTGCTTTTTCTATGCAAATTTCTTCTTATGCTAACTACATCTGGTTTTCTTGTAAGTAGGACATCCAGGAAGGCAATTAATTCTGTTTTGGGATTCCTCTTCGCATGTGAATTTCATAGCCGGATGTACTTCATTATTGTACTCCTATCAGAACCATTATCACAAAGAATGAAGGTATCATCCATATACTGGCAATAAATTGAGATCTTACTGATAAGGTTGTTTAAAGGGCCATTTTCTAGCTTACTTAGAAAGAAATCAACCAGAATGAGACCCGATGGGGAGCCCATCGCCACCCCGTCCAATTGTCTGTAAAGCGTGCCGTCAAATTTGAAGTTTACATTCATGGTACACCTTAATAACAATTCTTTTAGGATTTCCGTTGGGATGCCAATGTTTATCGACTGCTTGTCCATTTGTTCACATATGTAACTAACTCTCTATAATGTATATTCTTCTCAGATAATGTAGGAAAGTGCACTATGATAGAGAAGATTTGTAGCTCAGGTGGATGATTTTGTTCTCTGAGCTGGATGGTTAGTTTGCGCAAACTAACCATCCAGCTCAGAGAACAAAACCACATCAAAAGTGCACTATTTTTCATTATAGGTCTTTTAGTATTTTAACCTTTTACGTCAAAAAATCTCAGTGCTTTTTAATTAGAGTTTTATAATATCAATCCTAATTTATATATGTCCAAACTAAGTTCACTTTTAACAGTTTAAAAAAATTTGGGCATTGGGTATGTGATATTCATTATAATAAAGGTTGTTTTGTATTTCCCAGTGAATGAAAAAGAGCAAAACGATATTATTGTGTTTTACTGACGTTTCGCTATTTAATGCTGCTGTTAATGGCTTTATCAAAGTATTATTAAACCAGAATTTACAAAATCCACTCAGCTTATATATATATATATATATATATATATATAACAAAGAGTTAAGAGGTGAGAAAATAAACTTGGGTCAAGTTAAAGGGAGACATATTGAAAGTCAAAATAACAATGAAGATCACTAAACCAAATAACAAAGGCAATAGTACATCTGTTATGGTATCAAAACAAAGTTTACTAACTTGATCATCGTTCGTTAGTTTGGGGTCATTTTTCGTTGTCAAGTTGGTCAATTGGTAAAGATAACAAAACCATCATGTGTAGATCGTTGGATTTTATCAGTGTGTAAAACTATAAAAGTAGTGTGTGTTTACATAATGAACTTGTTTATCACATTCGTGTTGATTTTGTCACTTCATGGGGGAGGGAGGTGTTGTAACCATGTTAAATTCTGTTTTAGTCCGTCATTCCTATTCAGTTCATACAATTTGGATTCCACTTGATATGAACTACTTCTAATGATATTAGACGTTCTTTGTGATTTCTGAAGTTTTTGTGGCCTGATTCTATAGCGTGTAGAGACGAGCTATGGCTGATGATTTTTCAAGCTTTTCTAGTTCAACCGGATTTCTCGGTGGTCGAACAGATGCTCTATGGTGTTCATTTCTTTTGATTACCTTGATTTCTCGCCATGTTTGTCCGATGTATATCGCACCACATTCCTAGCGAGCATTTTATTTTATAGACACAATTAGATAGTGAATCTTTAGGGATTTGGTCTTTTGTATGGACAAGGTTGTTTCGTAGTGTGTCTGATGTTTTGAAAAAAACTCTAATGTCGAGCTGATTGAGTACTCCTCTGATATCGTTCGACGTCTCTGATGGTTTATATAGAATGACGACTGTTGAGGTCCATGTTTTCGGAATGCGTTTTTGGCCATACTTAATGTCTGTGTTGGTTTTTTTGGTGAAGTTCTTTGGGTAGTTGTTTCGCTTCAGAGTTTCAGTAATGTTTGATATTTCTTCTCATCCTAATTGTTTGCTAATATCATGAGTTATACTGTTATTATCATCTTTCAACTTAGATTTTGTCACAAACCGACACCACTGGGAGAGGCCATTAGAAATCAAAGAGCAGTGAACTATTTTGGGACTCCCTGGTAGTGCATAACCAATATCCCCCCACCTAGGAATCGAACCTAAGATTTGTAGATTACAAGGTCAAGCTCGTTAACCATTCAGTCAGTTGAGCTGGAATTCACTGACCTGTAAATTCTAACTTCTGTATGTTCTGAACTTGTCGTGCATATTGAGTTCCACCATGTGTAAAAGTGAAGTAGATATACCTCGCACGCATTGGTTGGGGATGATGCTATATCACGAACACCTTGAACAGCAATCTTCGAATGTTTCACATGCGATTCTCTCCCAGCATATGTAAGATGATGCTACAGGGCTGGACTGAACTAATTTGACTCCTACCTTAAAGGTAGAGGGCATTGAAGTTGTAGGAGCGTGTTGACCACTCGATTTATTTGGGAAATTGCATCAGCCAGTCTCAACAGGTTGATCGCTGACGAAATCTTAGCATGGATACAGAAGGCTCGTTTGGCATTTGCCTGCCAACTTATCCCATATCTCGCATAGTCATGATATCCGTCTGTCGACGAAAGGATGTATGTACTGCCCAGAAGTCCTCTACGTCCTCCTTTATGGCTGTGAGACATGGCCATTGAAAGTGGAGGACAGGAAAAGGCTAGTTGTCCTTGATAACAGGTGTCTACGTTCTATCTTCCGTGTGAAGTGGTATAATAGTGTAAGCAATATTGAGGTTAGGCTACGGTCTAGTGAGTGCTAGGTAGAGAGGGGAAATCAATCGACAAGGCTGTGAAGTCACATCGATGGCCAATGTTAACTGACATAGGGTCAGGTTGTAAAAGACTCAGTGGTGGTCAAACCAAAACATGGCTTCATCAGTCAATAAAATAAATCCATAAAAGTTAGTTTCAGCCAAACACGTTTAGAGATGTAAACCTCCTGACTGGCTGGTTGGAGTCCTCGGGATGGTAAGAATCAATGGCGGGGGTTGGCTGAAGACAATAGGTGATGTGGCTCAAAATCCTCGTTCTCAGTGACAGCGGAGTTGCATCTACTCCTTGTGATTGATTTACAATGTCCAGTGAAATTCTAATTGTTCTTCCATATTACTTATTATTTTTGCCTCATATTTCTGTTGATTACCTCTCTTTTGAATCCCTTTTTGCTCTGTTCTCCTGCTTTGTGTGCTACTTGTGGAGAGAAAGAGAGAGAGTAACAACTCGAACTGCTACACATTTTCTGTGCAAATTTTTACGGTGAAAGCAGTCAATCAGTGATATGTATCCATATATATATATATATATATATATATATATATATATATATATATATATATATGTATGGTGATCTCTCTTTCTGTTTGCTCGGTTAGTCTGTGACCATTTAACTTTGATGAACCTGTCTCCTTTAACAATGTATATTCCCCTTATATTATATATAATATGAGTGTTTGTTGACAGTCCGTTGCTTGGTGACATATATCCATATTATATGTGTGGTTGTTGTCACGTCTGCTATATTTCGCTATGTATATATGGATCGACACTCCATTATAATTAGCCAATCATGTTAAGACTGTCTATTGATTGTTCACACACTTGCCTGGACATTCATATATATTTTGCTCTCACACTATTGTGTGATATATTTGATTCTCCTTGTGTTTTGGAAAATAGAAGTATCATCGCAAACCTAGTGGTCTTCTGATTTCCGTCTTTCTTGCGTCAGGACTATTAAATTCTCGACCAGTGCATAACAATAATTTGGCGACGGGGAAAACTACTATTAACCACTCAGCAGCAGCAACATAACAATCAGTTAGTTATATCTCATGATTTGTGTGAAGTTATGGGTGTACACTACTGAAGA